ACAAGTAGAGGGACTATGAGACTAGATATAATGAAATAAGTTGCAAATGAGGTCATTAAGGATGAGAAAAAACTATGTCAAGCTGCGAAAATTACGATATTTGCAGAAATTCTCTGAAAAGGTTTATTGCGCGATATAAGAAAGATCTACTAAATAATATATCTTTTGGGTACCTTCCTACAAGTCAAATATTTACTGAGGATCAAGTGAAGAATTAAAGCGATTATCTGCTTATGCTAGCTCAAATGTTTCACGGTCTAGGCCTTAAAGATGTACATCGCTTAGTATACGATTGTGCTATAAAATTCGCAATTGCTGCACCTGATTCTTGGCAAGAAAGAAAAATGGCGGAAAAAGACTGGATGACAGTTTTTTAAAAAAAGAAACACTTCTTTATCTATACGAAAACCCGAAGTTACGAATCTCAGTTGAGCAACTTCATTTAACCGTTCAAATGTTTAATACTTTTTTGATAAATTGGCTCAAATAATTGACAGATATAAATTTTCAGCTTCTTCTATTTGGAATGTAGATGAAACTGGAGTTTCGACCGTGTTAAAACCTTTTAAAATAGTGGCTGCAAAAGGAAAACCAAACGTTGGCTCTGTTACATCTGGTGAAAGGGGCACTTATGCCACGAAACAGATTATCGAACAAAACGGCGCATATTTGAACTAAATCCGATCACTGTAATACTTTTTATAAAGCATTGAATAAAGAGCAAAAAAAGCGGAAGGGACAACCTTATATGATCTTAAGGTAAAGGCGTAGGAAAGTTCACTTTTTAAACGATCGTCTTCGTAAATTGCGACGCGAACGTTGTCCAATACTGGTTAGGAGACACGTACCGAGGAAGATATTCTCTCGGCGCCTAGTACATCAACTCAATATGTATAAGGTGCTTGAATAAGTTCTCGCTGTTTTCTAACAGATGGTGTTTTCAGTAATATAAGTGGATAATATTTCTGAAACGAACGCATTTCCAGGAAATACTGTTCATATTCTTGAACGCCAGTGTGTTTCTGTTTGCCACAGTGTCAACCACATTTTGTTCTGAGTGCTTAAAGATGTCGAGTTTTGTGCTACGAAAAGAGTATTTTCGGGGAATTCTATTGCATTATTTTATACAGAAGAAATCAGCAGCTGAAACACACCGAATTCTTGTTGAGACGTATGGGGAACATGCTCTATCGGAAACAACTTGCAGAGACTGGTTTCGACGGTTCAAAAATGACGATTTTGATATTCAAGATAAAGAACGTTCTGGCGCACCGAAAAAGTTTAAAGACGAAGAATTGGAGGCATTACTTGATGTAGACGCGTGTCAGACGCTAGCCGGCCTTGGAAAATTTCGTGAGTTACGTATGTTCGATTTTCGCATTTTTTCTGTTATTTCGGTACACATGTACACACAAGGCCAGCAGCACACCTGCAATGCCGCTGGTGTTGTGGGTGATCTTGGGCGGCGGTAGTCACTTACCATCAGGTGAGCCGCATGCTCGATTGCCCCCTGTGTTGTAAAAAAAAAAAAAACATGTCTGTTATATATGTAGGCAATATCAGCCATTTTGGATTGTCAGTTTGTTTTTGACAGATAAAAAGTTTAGTCGTGTTTTGGTGTGCTCTTCGATTTTTTACTATTCGAAAAAATGGATCAAAGAAACTGTATTAAGTTTTGTGTAAAAAAAGAAATTAAATGCGCAAGGACATTTGAAATGTTGACTGTGGCGTTTGGCGAGTTTATTATGAGCAGAACACAAGTTCAATTGTGGTATAACCGGTTTAAGGAAAGCCGAGAAGATGCAATAACGATGCTCGTCCTGGTCGTCCGAGCACATCAACAACCGATGAAAACATTTAAGCAGTGAAGAAAATGATTTTGGATAATCGTCGAAACACTATCAGAGAAGTTGCTGATGTTATGTTTAGAAATAATGACGAATCTTCCACAGTAGGGTAGGGCGGGGCTAAAAGGTCCGCGGGTAAAAAGGTCCACCATGCCTATCTCCGAAACTAAGTGCACGTTAGACAACGGAGTGACCGGTGCGTGAAGGGGACGAGGGACGGGTGCGCATGCCGCCCCGCGCAGTGCATTTTCTAGAGCCGGCAAGAGTGTACGCGCAAGTGGTGCGAAAATTACACGTAAGTAATGTTTTAGATTTTACTTAGTTTTAGTCTCATTGTTCGATTTTTAAACTTACGAAACATAATTTCTCTGTATAAATGTTTAGTGGTATTAAGTTTCACGTAGTGCCATTGTTTTTTTGTTTGCATCACCTTGTTTTTCTACATAACCTAAAACAACAGTCCACCTACCATTGGGGCACAAAGGACCGCGGTGGACCTTTAAGCCCCACGAATTATTTTGATTCTATGTATTAATTTCTATTTTATTTTCAGAATGCGGAATTATAAAAAAACCACTGAGCGTGGTACGAAGTCCGTTGAGCTGATGAAGCGAGCGGCTGATTTAGTCGCAAATGAAGATAAATCAATAAGGCAAGTTTGTCGTGACTATGAGATTAGCAGAACTTCATTGAAGAGATTCATGGCGCGGTTAAAGGAAAATCCGGAGTCGCCAAAATTTGGCTACGGCACTCCCAGATTAGTGTTTAACCAAGAACAAGAAACTTCTCTCTGCGAGTATTTACTGACACTTGCACAAATCTTTCACGGTATAGGCCCTAAAGATGTTCGTCGCTTGGCTTATGAATGCGCTGTAAAATATAATTTGAAGATTCCTGAGGTATGGCACACAAAAGATGGCTGGAAAGGACTGGCTGACGGGATTCTTGTCAAGGAATGACCGTCTCTCTATCAGGAAGCCAGAGGCTACTAGTTTGAGCAGGGCCACCTCTTTCAATCGAACGAACGTTTGTGAATATTTTGATAAATTGGCACACGTGATGGATCGTCACAAATTCAGAGGTTCGTCTATATGGAATGCTGATGAGACTGGTGTCTCGACTGTAAATAAACCTTCAAAAATAATTGCAGCCAAAGGGAAAAGAAACGTCGGGTCTGTCACATCTGCTGAAAGAGGAACTAATGTAACATTGTTGGTAGCTGTTTCGGCAACTGGATCTTCGATACCTCCAATGTTCGTATTTCCAAGAAAGAAATACCAAGATCATTTCGTGCGAGATGGGCCAGCAGAATGTATTGGTGCAGGAAATGCAAGCGGCTGGATGACTGATACGGAATTCTTGCTTTTTATGAAACATTTCATCACTTATGTGAAGCCAACTAAAGAGTCGCCAGTTTTGCTTTTACTAGACAATCACAGTTCGCACTTGTCAGTGGAAGTGTTGGATCTAGCGAAAAATAATGGAGTAGTGATGCTGTCGTATCCTCCTCATTGTTCCCATAAGCTGCAGCCCTTAGACGTGTCTGTTTTCGGGCCGTTTAAAAGGTATTTATCGTCAGCACAAGATTCATGGATGCGTGGCCACCCAGGAAAAACAATGAGCATTTACGATATCCCAGGCATCGTCCGAACAGCTTTACCTTTGGCACTGACTCCCAACAACATCTCGAAAGGGTTTCAAAAAGCTGGGGTTTACCCGTTCAACCGGGAAGTGTTTGATGAGTCGGACTTCGCTCCAAGTTTTGTGACAGACCGACCAAATCCGAACAATCCAACAACGTCTTCTGTACCTAATGAGTCACAGCCGCCTATGTCTACAGAGCCCCAGTTGCCTATTTCTCCAGGTTCACCAAGTTTGTTAATTTCTTCGCAGCCCGAAGTTGTAGCAGTTGTTTCAGCAAGTATATCTCCTGTATCTCCTTCTCAGTTGTCTACAGTAGGGCCTCAGTTGCCTACCGTCTCAGTTTTGCTGTCCTCAAGTGACCTAATGTTGTCTTCTACAGCTGCTGTTGAAAAAGATTGTCTGCCATTAAGGTCCTGTACAGTTCCATCTTCAAACATTGAGCCTCAACCATCTACGTCAGCTTCATCCTTGTTTGCTCAGCCATCAATATTTTCTCCGGAATCCATCAGGCCTTTCCCTCAGGCAGGACCGCGTAATGTTACCAGCAGGAAACGACGAAAGGCAGCTATATTAACAGACACACCTGAAAAGGAAGCGTTGTCTTTGGAACAAGAAAATAAAAAGAAGAAGAAAATGGTCTCTCGTAAAAAAGCTGTCTCGAAGAAAAATAAACAAGTGAAAANAAGATTTTACAAGAAAAAGATACAAATAAAAATAAACAAGTGAAAAGAAAGATTATACAAGAAAAAGATACGAGTTCGAGTTCTGAAGAAGAAGAATGTCTTTGTCTGGAATGCTGCGAGTCATTTGCTGACAGTGTTGCAGGAGAAGGCTGGATTCAATGTAATACCTGTAAAGGTTGGGCCCACGATAAGTGTGCCAAACATCACTCATCATCTCTTGCATACGAATGTAAGAATTGTCAGTCTGATGAAGATTAGTTATTAGTTTTTTGTTGAAAATACTTATTTTTTTAAATTGTTTAAGTTGCTAAAGATGTTACCGATTTCTTTTATGAATATGTACGATTTTGAGATACTACAATTGTTTTAAGATGTTACCTTTATCAAGATCAAAAAGACCAAAGACCTAAAGATTTGTTATTAAGACTGATTATAACTGTGCCTTATAATTATATAACTTAGTTACCAGTGCAAAATAGGTCGCAACATATCTGTCGATTAAAATATAATAAATATAAAGATTATTTATTTTTATTTATTTCCTACATTTGACCACAAAATATGATTTAGTTGTCGTGGTTCTTTTTACCCCAAGACTGGTCCTTTTTACCCCACCTGCGGGGTAAAAAGGACCATTTGACATTACATTTTGTATCGCCCATATTGGGCGCATTGGTAAATTCTGGCCGTATTCACCTATGGCAACTTATAGATGAAGGATTAAACTTTCTATTATTATTAAAGTCTTTCCCAGGAACCTTAAACGTACGTAGTTATGACACAATATACGCAAAATGGACCTTTTAGCCCCGCCCTACCCTATGTTATGGTTATGGAAGCAATAACCATAACAATAGCTTTTTGTTTATTGTTACATATTTTTCGTGATTAAATGTAAAATTAAAAATAAATCTTTAACATATATTAGACTATCAGGAAAATAATAACAACCAAGAACGTCCACCTGTATGAAGTTACCTCGACATAGAGGTAGAAATAACATTAATCGAAGTCAAGGTACGACTGACAAGCAACACACCAATACTAAGAACACCATTATCGTGGGGCAATATGTATTCATGTTCAGAACAAAAGCCTATGTTGCTAATAAGACATATCATTTCGCATTTTGATAATAAATAGACATACATAACAATGTATTCTATTGGCTTCGAAATTATCCTGCAGACACCAAAATTGTAGACAATGACGATGATGTAAGATTTTTTTATTAAAAATTGTCTTTAATTATTGATTTTTGTTGTTTTTAGTATTGTTTTTATTCAATTGATTTTAATTCATTTTTATTTTTGTTTTTATCTTTTTGTTGTTTTATGATATTGATATTCAAATTTCGACACTATTGGATTGAAATGCATACAGATATATGCTATGAAAACAATCAGTGAATCAACAATAATCGAAAAAAGTATGCTTGTTTAATAAAACATAAGATAATTCCGAGAGATGTTAATCTCGAAATTTAGATAGTAAACAGACATATAGAATAATAAATTCTAATTGCTTTCGAGATAGTTCTGTAAAAAATAAGACTGAAGACGACTACGAATTAAGACTAACCTTGTTACGGATGCAAACCCCTTCCAAACCATACTACAACATACCAATACATATTGCACAATAGCTGTTCCCACCACACAAATTCCCAGAAAGAATGAAGACATACTTTACAAAGAAAATCGATAAAAGGGAATACGACAGGGCAGTGAGAAGCCAGTATATTTTAAGTCGCGAACGTACGGTGTATATTTTAGGAATTAATCACGACTCATAAATATAATTACTAATTTTAAATAAAGACTCTGTAAATTAAATGACATTGTGAACTTAAATAGTATTCTTGTTTTAAAAAAACCTATCACCGACCGTCAGAACATAATTACCTAATAAATATTTTTATTGCCTTTAAAAACAAACGCGTAGATACAGCAAGAGATGAAACAAACTTCCGATATTAGTAATTGATCAAAAATAGAGTCTTAACATTGATAATTATTTGAGTGACCCTGAACATGCCATACCCATATAAAATGGATGTCCAATTTTCAATAACCACCTATTGATATTAACAATTTGACGAAAATTGACAATTACTGAGTGGCCACAATTGTAACATATCTTAGTTTTCCAATATTGATATTTAATATACCACATAAGCTTTTTTTTTCTGAGATTTATTTACAAAATGACATAGCCCAAGAACATAATTTAGTAAATGCATTACTAGATTAGAATCGACCATTACTTGAAGGACCATGAATAAATCCAAAATGCAATTGTAAGGATTGCTTTAGCCACTTGGGAACAATTTTTAAAGGAGCTTCCACTGACAAAAGAAACAAGGTCACTACCTATTATGAGGTGTACCCAAGCAATATGTTGGCAGACCTGTGAACCTCTTTTGGAAGATGATGACAAAGTATTCCTTGGACCCAAAGTAATCCTTTATTAATCTTGTATTAACTTTCTTATACATCAGCTCCCTACATAGACTTCCCCTCAACTGGCTCTTCCCCCTAATGCTGATACTGTACTGCTGTCTTTGAATTACAACTGTTGAGGACTCCCTTGGACCTCCCCTCGACTGGCTCTTCACCCTAAAGCTGGCATTGGGCTGTTGTTTTTTTTTAATTGCAGCTGGATTTACAAGTTGCAATAGTTCCAAAGAATTTTGAAGAAGTAAGCAAACACTTAATGGTCGAGGAATGGGCAGCAGCATCCTTCTTTAAACATCGCCAATGCCTAACTGCGGTTGCCAACCTGCCTGTCTAGCGTGACAATTACTGGCGAAACCTTCCGATAAGGGGAGGCCTATATTCAGTAATGGACATTTATCAGCTAAGACGATGATGAATCAATCACTCCATCAAATTCCATAGCCCAATCATGGCTTCTCGCCATTTCCACTTCAAGTCGTATGACACAGAGGCCAATTTTCCAACAAATTAATAATTTCACGACTGGCACACTCTGCGTCTATATCCCTCATAGAATTCAACCTTTCTGTAACATGCTTCCCAAAGAACCAGTAACTTGGTGATTCTTTGTTATCATAACCATTGTTGACAAGAGGTTCCATGGTTCTCACTAAGTCATCTATAAACTGTTTGCATTTATTGGTTTTATTAATTTTTACGCTTCTGGATGGTATATAACGCGGCCTATTAGTTCTTTGACCTCTTTGTCTAATTTTAAGTACTCCACCATCATCCAAGTCTGGTTGCACCTCTTCTTTGACTTCTGTACTTTTTAAATTGGGCAGCGATGTGTTGGCCTGGAAATTTAAAAAAAGAATATTGTTAGAAAGGAGGAGCATGTTTTTAATATTAATAATAATTTTTAACTTGGAATTTTTTTGGTCCATTAAATATTTATTAGTAACAATATTCTTAAAACTGGTTTTTGAATAAATGTCAAATGAAATAAAAATACTTTTTAATTCACAATTTCTAACAGACATTCAAAGGTTAACTGGAAGAGATCCCTTTTATGGGATAAGTCCACTATTGTACTCATTCTTTTCTTAAGAACTCTGTGTATCATATAATTTAAGACTTTACTGTACAATAAAATGTTACAAACAAACAAACTTTATATAGACTCTTTAATATATTATACCATTCAATAGTAATAATTAATAATATTCATGAAAACAAATTATTATAAAAAAATATGATTTTTTTTATTTATCCTATTACTATTATAAATAAAAAAAAAAAATGTTTTTTTTATACAACTTAGAATGGCAAACAAGCTGACGGTCCACCTGATGGAAAGTGGTAACCGTCGCCTATAGACATAAGCAGTACCATGGGCATAACAGAGTATACTGTTCCGCCCATGATACCTCCCATGTGTTGCCATTCCTGAGGACTCAGATATTATTCCTCTGTGAGGTGAGGAGGAAATATGAGGTTGGATGGATGTTTTTTTTACTGTTTCATGCAAAAAATACTGAATGGTTTTATATGAAACTAGCTGTAGTCTGTGACTTCAGCCATGTGAATCAGTAAGTACATAAAGTATTCTATGTATTTATAAAGTATAGTATATAAATTAGGATATAACTTCCTCATATATTAAATCCATTCATCCATATTATCATAATATATATTATCATAACATATTTATTAGTATGTAGTAGACTGAGAATCCCATTGCTAGCAATATACCCAACCAGCTCGACCTCCTCACAGTTCCCCCTGGAAACTATCATGGTTAATTCCTGATGAATTCATCATGATGGGCTAACTGGCCTGTTTTCATTCTCATCTATCACCCTTCACTGGTGCTCCGCCAGCGTATCCCGTTAGCGCAGGCGGGGTTACCATACCATTGTTACGCATAAAAAAAAACTTACACCGTGTACTATTTACAGCCAAACAAAATAAGTCACAAGCTCACCTCGTAATTTACAACTGCAGAATCATCTTTTCTATGTGCCTCGCGAAGAAATTGCAAGGGCTTCCACAGTGGCCAGCAGGGCACATAGATATCGGCAGCATTACTAGCATTCTCCCTGGACTTATCCACCCTTCTGAGGTTGTGGTTGAAGGTGCTCCTTATGTTCACCCAGCGGTCTCTAACAGAACGAGCTGAAATAAGAAATCTTTTTTTACAGTATTTCCAATGGCACATATGTTGATGGCCCACCTAATGGTAAATAATAACCATTGCCTATAGACATGAATGATGGAAATTTAATAATAATTTACCCTCATATATAAAAAAAAATAAAATATAATATTTATCTTTATTATAAGTGAATGTGCAAAAGCATATTAATTAAATTATTATTTTGGTAAATTTGTGACATTATTAAAAAACTACTTTCTTTTGTAATGTCACTGCTATATTTCTACAAACTGAATCACCGAGTCAAACCATAGATATGCATAGAAACATGCATGAAATAGATGTAAAAAAAAATTGTGTTACAGAAATTTATTGAATATGAATGGTGATAATTCAGTTATGAAATATCAAGGAGACATATCTATGTACATTTAGCGGACTTAACACCGGACAGTGTTCTCTACCAATCAATTGTGTATTGCTAATAATAAGGGCTTTTTTTTAATGGATGATAATGAAATGGTAACGTCCCCTGTGCTATCGGTATACACTGGATGGCACCAGTGAGAGATGATAGGCGAGGATGAAGCAAGTTAGCCCATCCTGATGTATGCAATAAATAAATCACGACGGTATTCAGAAGAAACTGCGCGATGGAGGTTAACTTGATATACCGTATATTGCTAGCGATAGAGTTGCTAATCTCCTTAGTAACAATTACCTCTCCCCAGGATGAGGGCTCGACATGATGAGAAATTATTGAGATAAATCCTTACTTATATTAGAAAATTCATTTGTTTGTTAACTTTTGGCGCCTTTACGGTTTAAAAAATTATAAATTTGCTAAATCTTACCTGTAAAACCTCGGCCCAGCCGCGCGGCGAACTCTGCGTACGCCTTATACTTTTGTTGAATATGGTGGTTTGTATTTCCAATCGGCTTCCAAATAAAATCTCTTTGGTGTACAAACTCTACTAAATCTAACTCCAACTTTCGCGTCCAGTAGCAAGGTTTACGAGGCATAATTATTATTAATACCAATATTGTTACCGTTAGCAGGTAAAAAAGATGGTTTTTTTTTATAGAGAACGCAACAAATGACATGAATAGACCGATCCATAGATTATGGACTATAGTTGTCTTACTGACAAGTAACAGATTATATTAAACATCAGGGTTGTCAGATGCGAATTTTTATTTTTAACCAACAATTTTTTTTTTCTTTTAATCGATGCGATTTCCAAAACTTTTATCTAGAAATGAACTTGTGTCATTTTTCATTACGTTTTGCTAAAGTTAATGACGAAAAAACATTAGTTTCGTTTCTACTTTTAGATTATTTTACTTTCTGTCATCATATCTCTCATCTCAACATCTATATTGCTGCTTTTGGTTTATTGTATTTATTTATTTATATACAGTTTACAAGTAATAAAACTATCGCCCAAAAGTTTGAAGGAATTATTCCAATTTTTCTAAAATCTATTCTTCCAAAATTTTTCGGATAATAAATCTTTTACCTCAATTTGTGAAAAAAGTACTTGATCTGGCAATGCAACAAAATAAGGCTGTAGTCAGACAAAAAAGACGTATGGCTATTATATCGGGGATATATATATATATATATATATATATATATATATATATATATATATATATATATATTGGAATAGTGAAAATTTAAACTATATGTTTATGTTTATGTGTAAAAGAGGGCTACTTTTAAAATCGCTCATTTCAAAATCCAAAATTTAGGTGTATTTATATATAGTACTCACTCATTTTCTTTCACTATTTTTTCATTACTTTCTTCATTAATAAATGCACTTTGTTTATTCATATTTAATATTAAAACACTTTATACGCAAATTTTACGCGTACAGCTATTCACTGTTGGACATAGATGATAGATACCTATACACCTATATACATTCTCACAACAGCTGCTTACGTATTCGTCCAATTCCGGAGCAGCTCGCAAAAAGCACGCTGTCTCACCTAGCATTGTATCTAATAAAAGAGATAGAATCAATAATGAGCAGTCAGCGGCTAGTCTACACGCATATGTCTACTCGCACGCACACAAACACCGTGCCGAAGTCTGCCGAACTGAAACGACGTTAGACGATGCACGGCTTCCGTCCTCGCACCGCTCTGCCGCCGTAAGAGTGGGGGGTGTTAGGTTCCATTTCCGTTATGGAATTTTTACATTCGGTCTCCGCGCTCAAGGCCCGCGATAGAAGCTATACAATAGCTTAAAAATATTAAAAACGGTATTCAGTGCAGTTCAAATATACCTAATTAAAAATTATTGAGAAAGGAAGGATTGTTAGTAATGCGGACTACTAGTCCTATTGCTAGCAATATGCTTTGTCAGGTCGACTTACACGTGGTCACCCCTGGAAATTATTGTGCTGAATTCCAAGTGTATTTATTCATCACGACGTGCTAACTGACCTTTTCATTCTCACCTATTTTTCTTCACTGGTACCCTGCCAGCAGTTACTGTTAGCGCAGGCGGCATTACCATTCTATTATATATATATATATATATATATATATATATATATATATATATATATATATATATATATATATATATATATATATATATATATATATATATATATATATATATATATAAGATAAGACGTGTATTAACAAATTTTTTTATGTTAAGATCGAAATATCTACCTATTGATATTTGGTAGGTTTTTATTGGATAATAATGGAAAGGTAAACCTGCCTGCGCTATTGGTATACGCTGGCGGGGCACTAGTGAGAGATGAAAGATGAGTATGAAAGCAGGTCAGTTGACCATAATGAGGAATTTTACAAAAATTAATCAAGATGGTTTCCAACCATCTTCCTAATATACCCTATATTGGGGAGAGGAATTCTATAGCGGTCCTCCTCGGATTTTTTTATATTTTTATTTTTTTATACAAGAATATTTGTAAGTTTGTAAAGTTGTATCAAAAAAATATATTGTTATCAATAAATGGGACTATTAGACCCTATTACTAAAATTCCTTCCCCTCAGTATTTGGTAGTTAGTTCTTGTTAGGGATGCAAATGACGTGCATGTCAACATTGCCAAGATACGTTGATATTTTTAGAATTCCTTATTGTATTGAGATTCGATAATAGCACATAATGCTACCTGAGCAAATTCAAGAAAATAGAAATAAGTGCATATTGTACTCTGCAAACAGAATAAAGTGCTATATAATATTGTGGGTATATTAAAATTTGCATAATACGATGACATTAACAGCTCGCCGCTACATTAGGGCTTATCGAACATTCCGGATGGTTTATAACTTCCTGGTTCCGCCGAAACTGCGAGACGAGTGGCGGCCATTTTGTGGACTTTTCGTACATGCACATAATTTAAAAATGTAATTTTATCTACTGAATTTCGTATGCTGTATGTTGCATTTACAGCAGTTTTATTAACTGTTTATTACGTTTGATCCATTCAAATTTTGTTTTTGGAAAGAATTGTAGGTGCAGGTTATTTTTTTAAATTTCCATCTGTTCCGTCCGTCCGTGAGGGTCCGTCATTGTGTGGTATTCCGGTCTTGCAATTTTTTTTAATGGATGATAATGGAATGGTAACTCCTCCGGGTGATTCTTTTTAATGGATGAAAATGGAATGGCAGCCCCGTCCGCGCTATAGGTATACACCGACCAGGCAGTGGCAGATGATAGGTGAGAATGAATGCAGGTCAGTTGGCCCACCATGATGAATTCGACAAGAATTAACCATGATGGTTCCCAGGGGGAACCGCGTGAAGGTCAACCTGAGAGGGTATATTGCTAGAAATGGGGGTATTGGACCTCATTACTAACAATCCCTTTTCGCCCACTCCGACGGGGTTATCGGCATATGCTGACGAGGCGCCAGTAAAAGATGATAGGTGTGGATGAAAACAGTACGTTTCGTCTCATCGTGACTTTTTTTTTTTTTTTTTTATACAACTTAGAATGGCAAACAAGCTGACGGCCCACCTGATGGAAAGTGGTAACCGTCGCCTATAGACATGAGCAGTACCATGGACATAACAGAGTGTACTGTTTCGCCCATGATACCCCCCATGCGTTGCCATTCCTGAGGACTCAGGTGTTATTCCTCTGTACCCAGTAAATTCACGCCATATCCCACCCTTCAAACCGAAACACAGCCATGCAAACACAACTGCTTCACGGTTGAAACACGAATGGGACAGAGGTACCCAAGCAATCGACTTTTGTACAAAGTCTCCCTCTGGTATTATAAGACGTATTTATCAAGATTAATCACAATGGTTTCCAAGGGGAACCATATGTAGGTCGACTTGATAGGATATATTGAATGAATGAATGAATGGATGAGTATACTTTATTTGCATTATACAATATAAGAAATAGGCAAGACAATTAATAAATACAACGATATAATTGTATAAGTACAGCAAGGCTATATTGCTAGCAATGGGAGTGTTAGTCCTCATTAGTAACGATTTCTTTCCACTGTCCTTGTTTTTTCATATGGATAAGAGGATACCAGTTCTTGATTTGCATATTCCATTATTATATTATATACATATTCTCATACCATAGAGCCGAGATGCTTACGTATAGCGAGGTTTCAGAGATGTTTCCTCTCACGAACGCTCTTCCATAACCTGAGCGTTATGGAATGAGGTTTTTCCAAGAGACTACAGCATGGGGTCCTTATATATATATATATATATATATATATATATATATATATATATATATATATATATATATATATATATATATATATATATATATTGAAGCTAGTAAGAGCATTTAATTTGTGTCTTCGCAATTTTTTTGTTGGTTTCACGCTACTATACTCGTAACTCTATTTATATTCCCTACATTTATTTTTTGTTACCATAGATAATACCAAAGACCAATAAAAACGTTTCCTGTTAATAAATTTCCGCGTGATTTATAGTCTGTGGTGTAAAAAAAACGCGCCAAAATTAAAACGGCCTATGCATGTAGGTGCGGCCGTGTCAACGCGATCGCCAACTTTGCTGGGTGATTAATAGCCTCAGGGAAACTTGTAGGGTTTGTATCGTATGGTGGCGGTGAAATCTGCCGTGTCACTGGGGGTATTTCTAACGAAATATCGTCCCGTGTAGTAATAAAGGGACATTGGCCTCGACCAAACTAATATTTGGTCAATTGGTTATATACAAGCGACTGATAGAGCCGACCCTTACGTACATGTATTTAGTTGTATCTAGTTAGCTATTCTGCTAGTATCTTTCTTAATTCTTAGCCAGTAATCTTCTAAATTTGTATGTATAGTTGACTTGTTTTTATTTGTGTTTGTTAACTATTTATTAATTACGGAGTACTATTCTGCATTTTGTTGTGCATTTTATTTTTATTTTAGATTTTTAGAGTGTATTTTAATTTTAGATTACAGTCTTATTTTTTATTTTATTGTCAATTTTTTAAATATTTTTTTAGAATTTTTCTATATATATTTTGTTGTATCTACATAATTAGTGTAGATAAAACAATATTGTAACTAGATGATGTTTATTTGCACATAGGAGATCTTTTAGAGAAATATAATTTTAATATAATTTTTGCCTGTCTGTCTTTTTGTATTTGTTGCGGTATCACATAAAAACTAATACGCCAAATTGAATATAGTTTTCGCTGTTAAGTTCTTAAACTTGGAACTTAATATCTACTGAATGTTTTATCTTCATATGTTATCTAGAAATGGCCGATTTCATTGGTTTATTTCACGCACACGAAGTCACAGGTAAAAGCTAGTAGACATAAAATAAAGCCAGTTTTAATAGACAATTATATCTCATAGAGTACTGGGCAATTTTTAGGTGATAATTAATATTTTAGATAAAAAAGTACGTTTCGATTGCTTGTTATCTTAACGGTTTATTTTTAGATTATGTAGATAGAATGTCTCTAAGTTTCATTGAAAACAAAACAACTACTTAATCTATGCCGCGAGAATAGGGTTACCATATATACATTTATTATTAAGTATATGTAAGAATATATTGTGAGGTTAAATTAAAAATACTTATATTTGAAAGAACCAAATAAATAGTCCATAATGATAA